GAATGCCTTTTCTTTTTCTTTTCTTTTAATTTTATTAATACTTTATTTATGTCTCAGGACCTAACATAGTGTCTGACCCTTGGTTGATACTTAATAAAAATTTGTTCACCATGGCTTTGTTATTTTATTTCTAAATTTAGTGACTGTGACAGATGCTTGGATAGATCTTCTATAATTTAATTTTTGAATCAAATTTTTACACTTCTAAGTGGAGCAATTTTATATCTCTACCTTAGGCCCATACTGCCATTACTTGTTGACTATTTTTGTCTTGTCACCTCAAACAGATATCTAAAGCCCGAGTACCGTATTCTATCCTAAAATAAAAACTACCTCCAGCTTTTCCTCTGAAACTGCCTGTTCTGGTGGTGCTGTTGTTCTTTCAGCCACAACCTAAGACTCATCTTTATATCAGCTTTATTCCTTACTACCTCCCTCCTCTCAACATCACTCCAGTCAGCAAAACTTGTTGTTCTTCAAAGAATTATTTTTTGCTCCATGCTTAAGTAAAGGATGACAGGATATTCTGGCAGATAGAATATTGATTTTTTTATTTATTGAAAATGTCTTATATGAAGTATATTAGTAGGTTTTATTGTGTTCAAGGAGGAAATGACATATTTATTTAATAAACCCTTTGCTTTCTTTTCCTCAGATTGATGCCTCATCATTTACGTTGACATTTTTTGGTCAAGGGTACAGCCAAGGCTTTGGTCCTGATAAGAACAAACCAAATATCAGAATTTGTACTCAGGTGAAAGGACCAGGTATTTCACATGTGACTTAAGAATGCTTGGGAGTTTTACATTGTCTTAAGCTATAAAGTGGTGTGCTATTACAGCAGTTTCTTTTTAAAGTTTATTTGTTTTAGAAATAAATTTGCACAAATTATTTAAGTAATAATGATAAATAATTCTGTCAAAAGAAGGATTGGAATTATTGGTATCATTCAATTTTATTGTTGTGTCTCTCTGTTTTTTTTTCTTTCAGTATGATTCAGTAATTCTGAATGGAATTTTTAATATTAAGAAGACAAGGGGCTGATTGATATTTGTCTGTTCTATTCTTATAGTTAAGGGTCACTTTAAAGCAGTGTAGTTATAACATAATCAAAGCTGTGATCCAGGCTTTCTTTGGAGTCTGGATCACCCTGACATTGTTTGTAAAGTGTGTGCACATGTGCATTTTTCTGGGCAAGGTAAAAGTTTTGATAGATTGTTAAAAAGAACTGTCACTCCAAAACATTCAATAACTTATGCTGTAAATTTTAGAGGACTGTACAGAGACAATCCCACTTGTGAATTATAGTATAAGTTTAATTACCATCGTTCCTAATAGATCACAGGGGGTCTGTTGTGCAGTTTTAATCAAGCCCAATAGCAAAGATATCTTTGCATCTTGCCTTTTTTTCAAATTTCCACCTGGGTTTTTAAGAAAAGCTGTGTTCTTATTTAACATGAATATAAACACTAATGTCCTCCTTGTTTATAGACTTCTTTTAAAGTTACTTCTTAAAATTAGACTTCTTTGAGAGTTACTCAGTTGTTCTTTAAGAAATGGAGTCTTTTTTTAAAAGTGAAGTTTGATGTATTTGATTGATAAAGATCAGTGTAGTGTATGAATAGAGAAACAAGAAACCTAGGATTATTGGTAAGAGTGTGGACTTGAGCCGGCTGCCTGCATGTGATTCTGGCTCAACCACTACCTCACTTTGTGAATTTGAATGAGTCTCTTAACCTCTCTATGCCTCAGTTTCCTCATCTGTAAAATCAGTATAAAATAGTACTAGCCTAGACTGTTAGGAGAATTAAATGAGTTTAATGGATTTAAAGCACTTAATACAGTTCCGAACACTATATAAATAGTGTTCTATATAAATGTTGTTATTTTTGTTATTGCATGAACAGAGTATTTATTGAGGAAATTCTGTACACTGATACTTAGATATAAAATCTACCATTTGATTTTTGGGTGGTGTTGAATGCATATTTTATGAATACTTTCTTTTTCTTTCATCACCTGTTATCTGCAGAAGCTGGCTATGTGGCTACCCCCATAGCCATGGTCCAGGCAGCCATAACTCTACTAACTGACGCCTCTGATCTTCCTAAGGCGTAAGTCTGGTTTTCTTCAAATTTGAAGATATCTTTTTCATTTATGTTGTACTTTAGCTTATCTTGGTTCAGTTTTCAGGCATTGGGTTTTTACATAAGCAGTTACAAAACCTTTGATCCAAAGATAGAGGTAAACTTAATATTGTGAGAAGGACAGTTCCTTATTGGCCTCTAGGAACAGTGCAGAAGTACATGAGAGGAGACAGAAAAGTTTGAGAGCCATGCTTCAGTTCCTCCTGAAAATAACTCAGATCCAAAGTCAGCTACTCAAAAAAAATGTCCCTGTAGTTAAATGTTATTGGCAGGAGCCCCTAATCCATGCTGAATGATACCCAGCTGGCAGTGGGAGCCTTGACCCCAAGCATTGAGTTGATTCATGGCATCCTGGCTAGGTAAGTATCAAGTGAACTATCTTTCTGGAGCATATAGCTGTTACCCTAAAAGTAGGCCAACTTTACAAATGAGCATAGGCCTGCAGGCTTAGAAACAAATAAATTTAGGTCTGACCTGAAACAGTAGTAAGTAATAAACATAAAAATTATATAAAGTGAAACCTAATTAAATTTTCTTCAAATATTTGTATACTCTTTGAAAATATTTAGCATTTTCTAAATGTTACCCATTACATTTAAAGAAACTTCTCTTTTTCATCCAAATTGTCTTCTTTATGCTTTAGTAATAATTGATTACCTAAATTTATTTTGCCCATGTGCATATTTAATCCTCCTGAGTCTAAGGGCTGACTTTATAAACAGCATCTGTTACTTGGGTTAATAACCCTCGGTGTGCCCCTTCCAACACACACACCAGTATCATGGAAACAGTCTCATTAGTCACTGAACCAACCTAGACGGGTTTGCTGGGTACTAGTTTACTCTTGAATAATAGCTACTTGCTCATTTGGCTGATTTTAGGAATGGAACCAAAACCAGTCCATTACGGAATCAGGAATCAGGTTTTCATAAGCTCTGCATTGATTCGATAGCTAGTCCTCCAGTAAATCACACTAGCAGAGGAAAGGGCTGGAGCTGGGCGTTGTGCACTGTTTCATCTTGTTATTGTCTTACAGGGGTGGGGTCTTCACTCCTGGAGCAGCTTTCTCCAGAACAAAGTTGATTGACAGACTCAACCAACGTGGCATTGAATTTAGTGTCATTAGCAGCTCTGAAGTCTAAACATTTGAATAATTAACCGAAGTCATAAAATGCATGAATTAACAGCTTTTTAATTTGATATTTGAAATTCTTCTATAAGCCTGTCTGACTATATGTGGAAAAGATTGTCAAATCTAAACTATGTATACAGTAAAAGCAGGGAATTGTACTAGCTTACCCTAAATTTCAAATCTTAGCTGATTTTTGTGATTTTATTGCTTGTGAGAAAAAATTAATATTTGACTTTTTCATTGAAGAATTCAAGGTCAGTTTTTTAAGTGAGCTGGAAGATCAGAGGGTGGGATGGGTGGCTCTCTCTGTGGCTGACACGCCCAGGCTGGTGGTCATGTAAGACGGCAGCTGCTCTTTTCCTTGCCATGATATTGAATGGGATCTCACTTCCCCATGAATTTCTCTGCATAGTGTAGGGCTTTGCCAAATGAAACTGCAGTTTTTGCTATTTTAGCCTACTTTTTCACCCATCCACACTGACTGATTTTGGACTCTTACCTAAGTTTAATAATAAAGGATTGTCAATTGAACAGTGGTTGTGTGTTTGGACGTGCCTGTGTATTTGAGTAGTGGTAGAAATGTGCTTCCTAAGTGGTCTGTGTACTGCTAACAATTGGGCTTATCATTCATTTTCCCTGGTTCTGTACCTGTGTGCCTTAGGTTTAAGGATATAGCTGCTAAGTTTCTATTGATTTTCACTGCCTAAGCAAAATTTTTCTCTAATTTACTTTTTATATTTTAACCAGGTTTCCACTGAAGCCCAAAAATAAGGCAAAGGACTTTTCCTTTTGTAATTAGCATATAATAAGCACACATAAGTGTTCTGTTACGTTCATTATGTAAAGAGGACAGCCATTGCCTTCATGGAATTTCTACTCTACAGTGAGAGGCATGACATTGATAGGAATCTTATTCATGTTGGGAGGTCCGTCTGTGCTGCCTGTACAGAAGAAAGAGGGTCTGTTTAACTTGAAGAGGGAGATCCTTGGTGATAGTACTGTCCTTCCTAACTTTGCTTCCTCTGCCCAGGGCTGGTCGAATCGGGTCTCAGCTGTGCACTAATTTGTGGGACCTTAGAAGAGGTTTTATCATCTCTAAAATCAGGAAGATGTACAAGAGCAAGAGATCTCATGACTAGCTGCATATCCGAACCACAAACAATATAGGTTCCCCAGTCGACCCCAGCAATTTGCGTTCGGGAGGTGTGACGGTTGGGCCCTAGGAATCCGTGGCTTAGATCTGCACTGGGGAGCTACTGGGTGAGACTCCATGTGCATCTTTCCACTTTTGCAACGCGTGCTGTGTTGTGCTCTAGTGTTGATGCTAATATATGACCACCTGTGTGACCCTGTCCTCCAGCTTGAGGTACAGTGTCTCGTCCTGATATTCTTTCTAACCCTCCAAGGCTCCACCTGCTCACTTGCAGAAAGTATATTTACTTGCCTCAAGCAAATTGTCCAAGAACTTTAAGTCTCAGTCCAAGAGGTAGAAGCCGTTCCTGCTTCCCATGGCCTCACTGCTATCCTGCCTGAAGGACAAAGGCTTTCCTGGATTCTGTGATGCTTTGCTCACCCTTGTCCCTGCCATCACCAACACGGAGCTCCACACTTGGGCTCCAAGGTTACAGGTTATTTTTTAGTTCATGTGCATACACTCAGCCAGGACCTGAGCTCCAGGCAAAACCCAAGCCCTTCCCATAAGCCCTTGGGTCCTGGTAGTAAGCTGAAGTCACCAGCCCAGATGCCTCTGCCTTCCCAGGGAGACTCCTCTTGGAGCCCTTGATAGCCTCTCCTGCTAGTAGAGTTTCAGTGCCCCTAACTTTGTATTTTAGGGAGCAAGTATTGGAGTTGTCACCTCTATTGCCTCCTTCCTGTTCTTATGCAAATCAGTCAAACTGCTCCTTGGGACAGTCCTGCATATTAAGGCCCCAGGCCTTTGGTTAGGAATGCAGTCCCAGAGTCAGCCCACTGCTTACAGTGGCCTGGACAAGCCTCGTTTGTTTAACCTTTAAAGCCTCAAAATGGGGAAAGTAATAGGGCCAAATTCATAGAATTATGGTGAAAATTAAATGAGCTCACAGATGTTTAGCACTTAGATTAGTGCCTGACACACGGTAAGCCCTGGATAAGTCTCTGTTATTGCTGCTATTGTTTAGTCTGTCTAAGGCCGCAAAAGTTTTCTTTACAAGCCTTTCCCCAGAGCACTCAGTGCCCATGGGTCCTTAACTAAGACTCATCAATCAGTTCTTTGTGGAATCAAGATCTCTTCGAGATTGACTAATTCCCGGCAGATGTCATAGTAAATCTTAATCTCTGCCACCCCAGGCCCTTGCACTGAACGGGTCCCACAGTACAGGCACTTAACGATGCTTAATGAATTGAACCTATTTCAAATAAACCTATGAAGACAGAAAATAAGTGGAGGTAGAATATCAAATTTGTTCAGAACAAGGATACAAAATGAGGGGCATGAAATAACCATTCTCTAGGTGAGACAGCAAGAGACTTATCAAAAGAGCTTTTATTTGAAGTTTGGAGCTGTTGATCTTGAAAATATTAACGGCAGTTACTTATCAATCCCTTCTGTGTGCCAAGTACATTCTAAGTTCTTTATATTCTTTTATATTTGTTAACCATCTGCAGTAAGTACTGTTACCGTTCCCCTGTAACAGATAAGGAAAGAGACTTAGAGAGGGGAAGTCATTTGCCCCAAACCGCACAATTGATTAGTGATGGATTCAGCCCCAGGCAGTCAATCCCAGAGCTCAGAGTGCTGACCATTCACCTTTCATATTTCCCACCTCCCCTTCACCCTGATTATGGATTCATTTTTACATGATTTTAAATCAAATTGAAGAAGAGGTTTGCTTAAAAGTGGTATAATAGGTTGAGTGAGTGGGAAATGGGTTGACTAGATTGAGTTCACAATTCAGCTCTGAGAGCCAAGTTAATTAAGCTTATTAGCTGCACAAATAATCTTTACAACTCAAAGCTCAAATGTTTTCAGTTGGTGTATCCTCACTATTCCATATGCAATAAACATTCTCTCTTCTTTTTCACTATAAGAGCAACATCATTTTTCAGTTTCCACAAGCTGGATTCAAGTAGGTCCCCAAAGTCCTTTAACATTTGTGACTGCTGGTGTACAAATGGTCAAAGCATTTGATCGTCTTCCTAAAAATAAAGAAAAGAACAATATTGTTGTCAAACCCAAGTTCGTGTGCCTGACGCACAGTGAGGCCAAACTGAAATGGTGGAGTTTGGAGCAGAGAAACTTGTATTAGTCAAGGAGGCACCAACCCCAAAGATGGGAGACCTAGACTCATCTCAAATCCATCTTGCTGGCTGGCCAGGGGTGCAGGGTTTTTAAAAAAAAAAAAAAAAAAGTAAAGGGGAGGGGGGGTCTTTATGATTTCAGCTTTCCTGTGACTTCAATTGCAGACTTCCCAGCACTGTCTTAGGACTCGTTGTGTCTGTCATTGGTGAATGTGATTGATCTGTGTGTTCCTGCAGAGCAAACTGGTAAATCATGGTCTTGCGATCCCTTAACTTCTTTTTAGGAGAAAGCAAAAGCAATGGTTGAGGCATTTTGTTATTTACTTTGTGATGGTTCAGGAGTTTCAGTTCTTGATTGACCTTCCCAGTGTCACCAATTTTAAGTCCACTTGGGGCCAGCCAGTTGAAGCCACAGGACATTATCTCCACAGTTTGGGGTCATAAGTCAAGGCATTACTTTAAGCTAACAGTCATGGAAAAGATTATGCTGGGCTTGCTTTTCTGTTGTTTCTGCGTTCCCTCACTCGCCTGGTTAGTAACCGCTTGAATCTGCTCTTTGGAACTCAGGGAAGGTCTAGGAGACTAAAGACTTTCTATAAACAAGAAACGGGGGACACAGAGGGGATTTTGTACCCAGGAGGGCCCCGCAGCATCCTGCTTGGTTTCAATATTAGTGGACTCACTTCATTACAGTAAAAGTACTGTGTGTGTACGTGAGTGGGGTGCCCAGCGAGTTCTCCTTTTGGGCCAGAAAGCTGCATTTGAAAGCTGCTACCAGAGGCAACAAGTCACCTAGGAGCATGTCCTGTTTCAGGAAGGCTGCCTAAATGACCCTTTACTTACTGCCAACAGGGAAAATTGGTGAGATAATCCAAATATTTGAGATTGGTATGGTATATATTCTTTTAATACTGTAGAAGTTCTGAGGTTTGCACAGGACTGTGCTGGGTGGGGATTCTCCCACTGAGAGTTGGTTGATGATGTGTCCTCTGCCCCATAGGAGCAGGTATCCCTGAGCAGGGATTGCAGGGCCCACTGTGGGCCAGAGCGCCAGTGAGCAACGGTGGAGGAGGTGACAGTGCTCACAGAGATGCGAGCAAGCAGGGGGCCGATAGTGTGTCATGGCATCTCGTTTTAGTTTCTGTTTCCCTGATTATTAATGAAATGCCCGCTCAGATACTTTGGCCATTTTTTCCAGTGTGTTTTCCTACAAAGAGAAAGAGTTGTCTTTCTCTTATTTTAAAAGTATGTAGGGACTTCCCTGATAGCGCAGTGGTTAAGAATCCACCTGCTCGATGCAGGGGATACGGGTTCGAGCCCTGGTGCAGGAAGATCCCACATGCCGTGGAGCAGCTAAGCCCATGCGCCACAACTACTGAGCCTGCGCCCTAGAGCCGGTGCTCCACAGCAAGAGAAGCCACTGCAATGAGAAGCCCGCGCACTTCAACAAAGAGTAGACCCCACTTGTGGCAACTAGAGAGAGCCCGCGTGCAGCAACAAAGACCCAATGCAGCCAAAAATAAATTTTATTTTTTAAAAAAAGTATGTAGTTGTTTATATATTCTGGATACTAATCTTTGATGACAAATAATACACATAGATTCTCCCAGGTTGTGGCTTATAACTTTATTTTTAGTGTGTTTATCACACTGGTTTTTCCTTCTTTTTTATTGTGAGGTGTACAGACAAAAGAGTACCCAAAATGTATGCATAGGTACAGTTAAAGTGAACATACCTGCTCAAGAAAACAGACTGCGTCTCGAGCACCTCCTGGTCACACCCATTTCTCTACCCCCAGAAGCAACCACTAACCTAGATTGTGTGATAATCATTTTCTCGCCACCTAGAATGCAGCCCTAAACAGTATATTTTGCCTGTCTTTTGGGCATTTGTGCTGTAAGTTACTTATCTTCTGTGGGTGTACATTAAGATGTTTCCATTTGGGGGCTATTATGGAAGATGGTGTTAAAATACAGCCAGTGCATGAGTGCTTGGGTTCCTACAGAATTTTTCAGCTAGTCCATCATCTGAACTACAGAACAGAAAATGACTTGAGTGACTATTTTCCAAGTTCTCTCAAGAATGGTGTATAACTAGTACCATTCTAGATAGGTAGGAGAGAAATTAATTCATTATATACATAGGATGCCTAGAAAGGTGGTTCTCAAACTGGAGTTTAAGGCACAATCATCTGGAGGACTTGTTAAAGCACAGATTACTAGGCCTCACACCCAGAGATTCTGGTT